TGTTGATTTATCATGTGATCTTTTGCTATGTTTCTTGTGATATAAATACTGCTATGTTACCTAGTTAAATCGAACAAAGTTTATCATCCCTTTTGATCTCTCTTCTAGATCGGTGGTACTCTTCCACAATCGTGGTACTTCTGCTAGTACGCACGACCGATAGACTCATAACCGTGTATTCAGATACCACATTGAGTATTTACCAATCCTTATGCACACTATCGTCTTGTGTGTATAATCACGACTTTATGGTCACCGCCTAGAGTCCGACAATTCCTTAGTAATTATAAAGCTTTTTATAGTAATCCTTTTATCCTTCTTAGTATCTCTCTTACTTTTATTACTAGAATTAGAAGTATTACTAGTCTTATTATTATTCTTATTATAGTATTTAGTAATTAGATAATTACTTAAGATAAATATATTAAAATTAATACTTAAGTTATAAAGTATATTAAAATCTATATAAGTTTATAGGAGCTTCGTTAGTTAACGCTATAAATTCTATTTTAGAATAGTATCTAATATTATTATTTTAGATTCTATATAAAGATAAATAAACTTAGATAAGAACTTATAGAAGGACTATCTAGACTTTATAGTAAGCTTATTAAATTCCTTAGTTACTTTTATAGCTCTATTAAGATCTCTAAATACTTACTTTATATACTTAAATATATCTATAATACTTAAGTAAGGATTAAGTAAACTATAGTATATATAAAAGATTAAGTATCTTTCTACCTTATTACTATATTAAGAAGTAAAGTATATAATCTAGTAATCTTTAGTTAGTATCTATTCTACTAAGATATATATCTTATAGTATATAGCTATACTCTAGGCTTTAAAGTTAGGGTCCTTATTATTAGTTAATAAAAAAGGATTAGGAATCTTAATAGTTTAAGGATCTTATTTATCTAAGATAGTTTCTATAGTATCTTTATAATTCTAATAATTTATTATATTAACTTAGGAAATAGTAAGAGCCTTAACTTATAAGGTCTAGTATTACTAGATCTAGCGTTCCTTCTCTATATTATTAAGGTTATTCTAATAATTAAGAACTATTAAGTTTATAGTCTTTATTATAGTATTATTTAGATTTTCTATATAGATTAAATATTACTAGAGATCCTCTATCTTCCTATTTAGGGTTTTATAGATCTCCTAACTATTACTTTTAGTCTCTAAAATATAAGACTAGAAGATATACTAGAGATTTTATTAAAGATAAAAGGTTATCTTAGGTTCTTATTATAAGAACTAACGTAATTCCCGGTCGAGTCGGTCACCCGGTCGAGCCAGTCACTTTCCCATAGAAGAGCAATTCAAAATCGATTATCTCAACCAACACCGATTAATTTAACTAGATATAGCGATTTTTACATACATTAATCCTATGGCCAATCTCCCTGCACCCACTACACCTAGGTGGTGCCCTCTTTGCTGGCATAATTGGCTGACTAGGCAATTCAATCTCTGCATGCGAATCTACCTCATTATCTTCCTCTGGCTGGTTTAGCTGCTCAGCTAGCTGTATAGCCTCCTCAATGGTTAAACCCTCTGCGCAGGGTATCCTCCTAGTTGACCGATTGCGCTTTTTGATCATCTTCTCACTCGCTATACGTAGATTCGCATTATCCTCTGCTAGTAAAGCACCGCTGTGTAGCGCTAGCTGGAATCCCTTGATCATCTGGTCTAAGATCTCTTTTGATGGGCTCGGAGGGCTATTTGACCGCCGTTTTAGTAGATCTTTTAACATAGAAGCTTGCTTGAATAGCTGAGCGGCGGTTCTAGGCGTTTGGGGTGTGAATTCGCTAGATCTGCTGTTTGGCCGGCTGCTAGGTGGTGACGGAGTACGTAGAGAGATATTAAGCTTGTTAAGCACTCTCTCGGGGTCTAATGGTACTAGACCACTAGCTGCGAAGCTGTTTTTGATAGTGGGATTGGTTGATTGGAACGCTTCGAGCCGCGCGCGCTGGTAATCCACTAAGAAATCGTGCTTGTCGATATGGTTATATCCTCTACGCGCAAGATCGCTAACGAAGCGACCGTACGCGCGCTTAACCACTGCAAAACACCCAACATCTAGTGGTTGTAGTAGATGCGATGAATGCGCAGGCATACAAAGAGGTATAATATCGTTTTCTTTGCAGATCCGATCGAATTGGGGCGTAAGGTGGCTACCATGACCGTCAAGAATTAATAGCCGAAACCGACCTCGTACGCGCGAATTCGTGTGTGGGATAAAGTGCTTTTGTAACCAGCGTAGGCCAATCTCATCGGTAGTCCAGCCATTCTTTGAGACCTCGATTCGCCAGTCTTTCGGTAGGTTTTCGTTAAACCATCCTGCAATAGCCACTTTGCCTTTGAAGACTATACATGGCGGTAGTGAATAGCCGTCTGCGCAGATTGCTTCGATCGCAGTAACCCATTCGCGATTTCCTAGTTGTAGAAGAGATCTCCGACCGTAGTATTCAGCCCTTGTGACTACTTTCTGCGAAGATATAAGGCCCATTGCAAAGCCTGTCTCATTAAAGTTGTAGATATCCTCTGATTGTATACCGTTCTCGTCAATAACGCTTTGTACGGTCGCGAACCAAGCTCGGAGGGTCTTCGGGTCTTCGTTTAATGCGCGCTGGTAGTCGTAGCGTCTCGAGAAGCGAGATTGAAGCTCTGGGCGGCGATGAATGAACGATGAGGGCCAATTCTTACCCACGGTAGGTAAAGGGTAGCTACCGCGCGCGGCCAGTAGGATATTAGCCATTTCTCCCACAGTAGCCGGTCTAGGGGCTGCTCCACGCGTATCCATAGAGAGTATCCATTCAGTAAGCGAATCCTCTTCTAATTGGGTCAATTTATGGCCATTTGCGCGAGAATCGACGCGGCAAACCACTCCTCTGGCGCGGTCAGTAAGTGTTGACCTAGGGACTTCGTATAGGATAGCCGCAGCGCGAATAGATTTAACACGGCCATTTTTTAAATCGGAAAGGGCCAGTAGGATCTTGCCCTCTTGATTCGCAGATTTCTGCGAAGATTCAGCCCGAATTGGTGGCATGGTAGGTGGTTGAATTAGGTAGGTTAGTAGGAGGACGCGATTTTGGAGAGGGTGACCGGCTCGACCGGGTGACCGACTCGACCGGGAATTACGTTATATAAACTATTATAGGGTTATATAATCTTAATAAAGAAATTCTTTAGACTAATTAGGTTAAGGAATAAAATAGAGTATCTTATTATAGTTATCGTTAGTTTATAGATTAGTAAGTTCTAGTAAAAAGCTTATATATTAATATATTCTCTTAGAGAGATCCTTTATAGATTCGTTTACGGATTTATTTATAGATTAAGCTATAGTAGTATCAGTTTAGTTTATTAATTTAGTTTAGGGTTATTAATTAAAAAGAGAAAAATCTATAGTAAGATATATATAGTTAAGGAGAGTATAATCTTATTATAGATAAAGAAAAGAGAGAGAGCTTTAAAATTATATAAGTATATAGATAGATTAATCTACTAAAAGGGAAGAGAGGAAGAATAAGTTCTAAAATACTAGAATTTTAAAGCTAGAGAGAAGAGAAGAGAAGAAGAATCTATAAAGCGAAAGCTAAGTTTTTATACTAAGTAAGATAGTAGATCTAGTAGGGATAGATCCGCCGATATATATCGCTAATATATAGCGCGATCTATAATAATAACTAATCCCTAATCTTAATCTAACCTTCTAATACCTCTAAGTCTAATCTATTAATTAGCTAACCTATTAACTAGTTTATTAAATAAAATATCACTAGTTCACGATATTAATAACTAACTAGTTCGATTAGTAATAACTAGCTAGTTCGCCTAATAGAGGTTCGCTAGTTCGCTTAACGGAGACTCGCTAGTTCACTTAAGAGGACGTAGGTATTCTAATGATATAAGTCATGGCGATAACTAGTTAGCTGACTTATTAGTGAAATCACGTGATGTGTTATACCTAGTAGCCCCGGGGATTAAAGTATTTCTATAGAAATCGGCTAACTAAAGACTTTAGTAGATAGTTACTACGGCTGAGTAGATTTACTACTTTAGACGATAAAAACAGCTTATATTAGAAGGCGGATTTAAATTTTAAAAAGCTAATATTACTTCTAAGTACTATCCTATTCATTTAAGCGTATTTTTAGCTTATTTAGTTAAGATTCTAGGCGTCTATATTATTTAAAGCAGTTCTACAGAGCTATATAAGGGAAAATATATATTTCTACTCTCTTACACTACGATCTCTTTAATATACTATCTCCCTACCCATAAAGACTAAAATAAGACGGAATCTAAAGGTAAAGTCATATTTCTAGCCGAAATAACTAATATACGAGACTAATTCATATAATTTCATGTACTAGCGAGGTTTAGTCGAAGACCAGTCAATACCGAAACCAGAATAGGTATAAATAACGGTAATAAAAAAGAATGAATCAGCAATTTATCCAGCCAAAATAGGAAATTTCTTTACAAAATTATGCACTCTAGGTTCCTGTAGGTGCGAACTAGGACGAACCTATAGGGTTATTGGTCCCGACTCTAGGTTCTGACCTAAGGAACCGGAACCGGACCATGTCGAGGCCTAGCCTGTCCTCACCTTCTATGATCATACTCACGTGTGAAATTAATTTCAATGGGATGAAATTCAAACGAAAAAAAAATTGTGGCAATTCCACTCTTATTGGAGAGTTTTTATTGTGGAAACTGCGCTAGCTGATAAGGGCATGTACAAAATATGGGCTGAACGGTGGGGTGGAGGATTGTGATCTAAAAGCGCCTAGTAAAGTAATCCACATTAGTCAGCCCGTAAGACCGACATCAGCACTAGTGATAAATATAAGCCATATACCTACTACGATGCCCAGAATTCAAGGCTTTCTTTTGCTATCCAAGTTTGAGTTGTGGGTATCGAGGCGATCCATTGTCAGCTTTCCAAGATCATCAAGATATCGTTGAACAACTATTGAACCATGTTTTCCATTGCCGGATTATCCAGTGGATCAATTTGCAATCTGATTACCCTTTTTGAGAATTGTCACTTTGAATCTCCATCACTTCACGGCGTGTGCTTGGCTCTGCTCATTGCCTTCTTGTTCTATTTATTCTTAGCGACAGCGAAGGTACGTGTAAACCTCCTTGGACTAGCTTGAAAATTTCTGTGATAACATTTTTCAGACACCCAATATCTCACCCCCCTGTGAGATAATAATCGAACAGGCAGAGCGGACAAATCGTCGTAATGGACACGAAAATTCGGGCTTCCTATCCAAACAGGCTGGGTTTCTTCCTCTCGAGACAATGAAGACACTTCCACCCACGCATGCCGTATGGGACCAACTGGCTGCTGATCTACCTCACCTGGTCCAAACTCAGTCTGTCCGGAAAAGAGTTACTGAGATGCCATTGCTCGACGCATCCGCCGAAGCTTTATCTGAAATTTACCTTCAACGGGCCGCCAGCATCCTCGGAATTACAGCCCATGTGTTTGTCCGAATGGAAGGAAGCGAGCCGCTTACTAGAAAATACGCCTATCACAGCGACATACTGCCTCCATCACTTGAGGTCCCGTGGACTGTTGTGTGTAAGCGACTTGGGCGACCAGGTCCGGCTCTCACTTACATTGATGGATTTGTAGCCAATTTCACATCAACGTGCTTATCGCGCTCTGGAGTGACCCTTGAGAACTTGGATGTACTCATTCCAGCCATCGGCACCAAAGAAGAGCGAGTATTTATTGGGGTAGCCATTGAAATGGCTGCGCAGACCATACCAATTCTCCATCATATCATTGAGGCCCAAAGATCAGTCTTGGCTCGTGATAATTCCTCCCTCAAAGATGCAATACGAAGTCTACATCTTCTCTCAAAACAGCTTACCAAAACTCTGGGTAAGCTCCACGCTAATAGAGCTCACAACTCCCATATCAATCCTATCTTGTGGACACTCACCATGGCGAATCTCGGAATTCCCTGGGTGACAGGTGTGGTTGGGGCTGCAGGTACGGCGCATCCTTTCTTTCACATGATGGATGAGTTTATCGGACGCTCGAAGTATAAGACTAGTATCGGCAGAGAAGCGCAAACTGTCCGGGAGACGTATCCTATCCACAGGCGCCAGTTTCTTGAAGCTATTATGGAAGTTTCTGTCCCGGAGTACGTTGCCGCTTCGGCTGATCCAGAATTAGTGAACTTTTGGACGATATTTACGTACTCATACCACGGCAACGATGGTCTTCTTGGATTTCACCGGCGAAAGGCGTTCGGCTTCCTTGCTGTCTCGTTTAAAATTGGTCGAGGTACAACTATCAATGGTCTAGGTCACAAACAAAAGACCGAGCCTTGGCAAGAAGCTGACCGAGAATTGGAGAACGCACGTCTCGAACGCCACTGTCATGACCCGGATGAATATGATCCCAAAACCGAGCCTACTTCCAACAAAATCTTCATTTCCCAGCTCATAAAGCATAACTCAGAAGAGACTGGGCATTGGTTCTCGGCCATGGGAAGTGTTTACGACCCAAGCAAATTTATGCAGAGGCATCCAGGAGGAGATACCGTGATCGCATTGTACAGTGGACAAGACATCACTGACAGCCTAAAAGCTGTCGGCCATCTGACGAACCCTTCGACCCGCAGTAGACTGGAGAGCTATCGAATAGGGACCCTGGAGAGACCAAAGTTCAACTCCTCACTGGCAGATGAGCTTTACATGGCGACGGTTGATTTGGGCCAAAAGGCAGCCGAGATGGAAAACGTGCACCGGGCAAACTTCCAGTTATTGGATGGGAAATTCACCATACTAGATGAGCCCGAGGTTCTCACACCCTCGAAAGCACGCCATTTGTTTGATGCAAAGAACAGGCTTCAGGATGAGCATGTGCCGGCGCTAGCAATGCTTGTGAATGCCTTACTCGACAGTATCGCGAGAGTGAACACGAAAGTCAACATTAGTACCATTCGTGCACAACTGGTCAATCTTGCTGAGTCAGAAACGAGATTGAGCACTGCAACCCTCTTTTCAGAGTATACAATGGCGGTGAATACGCTACAGAAAGACTTGAGTCGGCTGACGAAAGTGAAAGAGCTCGTTGTCGTGCTACTTGAGAATCTCGAAGGGCATTGCTTCACAAATCCTGAGCAGAGTCAGCTTGAATTCATAGTAGAGACATTGAGTCGAGCAGTAAGTGAATTGGTGATGCTTGCTGGGAAATGAGCATGTACAGATACATTTTCCACTGTATCTAAAAGAAAATTGAAGCTAGACTGAATAGGTTGCGGCTGAATAAATTGGCAAGTTATATTCTGTTAAAGATGTTTCAATGAGCGTCGTAAGCCGCTCGTGGATTTAGAGATCAGATATTCTAACATAGAGGCAATATGACTAGCAACGGAAGCCTCGGAGGCTTTGTTAATGGGAATATGGGAACGCATAAAGGTATAACATGCGATCTTCATACAGTATGTTTCTTGTTTATGAAGAGGATGGCGATGGTGACGGGCTTCCGCAGCTCTCAACAGCGCTGATACGGTCCTCGACTGGGAGGATGTGACGGCGCAGATAGACTGACTGCCCTGCGGGCGGGGTCGAGATTTGCATCGCTGGAAAATATGTCTGGCCGCGAGTCGCCTAGTCTGACTGTGAATGTCTTTCGGCCCGCTCTACTCTGGAAAGATTGCACGGATTGATTTGACCCTCATGGTGTTAGTGATGCAGTCTTGCTTGGTTCGTAGAGGAAAGGCAGAAGACCTACACTTCAAAAAGGCGTTCAACCTCTCCATCCGGTTGATCTCCACATGAGCCGCATATGAATCCTCAGCTGAGAATTGAACGGTCAAATGAATTGAAAGAAGAGTTTGAGCCGTGGTGAGGAAGGTGGTAGATGTGGTGTTGCAGGCCGCGGTAGATGTTGGGTCGATAGTTGGCAGCGACAACTTGACCGTTGGAAGGGGAGAAACTAGTTCTCGCGTTGACGGAGACGGTCGCAAATGAAGTGTACGATATTCACGCCATGGTATAAACCCAAAAAGTGCCCCAGTGTCTTTTTTAGATGTGTACGGAGGCGCTGTTTATTTTCCTCTACTGTCATAAATCCCAGAAACCCCAGCCAGGAGAGTGGGCCATGGCGGACCTAGGTCACAATAGAGGGCTCGAACAATCAGTCTAACATAAACAGAAAATGCTCACTGTGAATGCAAGAGAGACCCTCCCATTTTAACCTCATTTCATATCAACTGGATAAACGTTTAAGTCCGACAGTCGGCGATACTTTGGCTACCCAGAAACGGCCAATTTGATACGATAACTATAAGCCTAAAAAGTAAACACAGAAGAAAGGCCTAATCAGACTGGGCAGAGCAGTATTCACTGCGGTGACATTTTTGTCAAGGACTTTGAACCATTTATCAGACAACGTCTTAATATACAGTGAGGCCTTGCCATTTTCAAAGCATCTCCCAGATGGAGATAATAAACCCCCTAGTGATCATGACAAGCTATACATTCAATGTCGTTGAAGGATTGGGCGGGGTGATATGTCTCTGGATTCAGATAAGAGGTGACGGTGATAGCCTCATCTTTGAGCATGAAGGAAATATAAGTGTGAATTCCACGGCCTTCCTGCAGCGCCCTATGGTTACTGAGTGTATATGGAATGGGTTAGGAATACATCAAGGTACTGCGGAGGAAAGGTAGTAACTGACAAGATTTTTTTAATAAGAGAAACATAACTGCCTGAGCGGAAGTTGCTCATGGTCGATTTCAGATATTCTTCAAGCCCCTTCGCAATCTGAAGATCGTTCTGTGCATAATGCCGAACTGGTAGGTAGACCTTTGGAACTGGTTGATCGGATCCGTTATGAAACTCAAAGTAATACAATATGCCTCCAGTTCGATGTTCTGTTTTCTCTAGAGAACTTTGGGGGAGTTTCGATTTCGGGTTGAAAAGGTCCTGCCATAGCTGTTCAAGGAGCACACGAGAGCGTTCAGTTTTGAAGTAGGAAAGGCTTCCACCCAGTGTTAAGATGTCTTCGACATCCTTGAAAGCTGTCATTTGAGAGCGAATATATATCTTGATCCTCGATACACTGGGTGAGACGCAGTCTATACCGATGATTTCTGCTTCAAGCTGCAGTCTTTTGCTTCTCGTTTCCATGTACCTCGCAAAAGTTGTAATGGAATCATTCATGGAGGGAGAGCCAGCCAGATTTGTCACCGCTCTTCGAATCAATGCCCATCTCGATAAGTTCGTTTCCGCGGACTTCAAACCGGGAAGAAAGTAGGCTTTCAACGCTAGTCCTTGTTCACGAAGGTCAAAGGCGAAAAATATTTGTGATGAATGATCCACCAACGCATTTGCACGCTCCTTGATGTGCTCAGGTCGCACAACCAGTTCGTTTAATAGCCTATCAAACCATTGTAGATCAAGCTGACTGAGCCATGGCCTTAACACTTCTATAGACTGGCTCAGGATTTGAAGATTGAAAGGATCATCTGAAGTGCCTGCGAGCTTGCCAATTGGCTCCATCGAGAACCGTACAATTGGCTTTTTTTGCGTTGAAATCCAGCTACAGCTAAATTCAAGCGGGGTCGTGTCATCTGTCATGAAGCTGCTCCATTCCCTTGAGACCCTTGGGTCACCCAGCCTTCTTCCAAGAAGAGGTGTGATGCACTGTCCATAAAATTGCATATACTTGGACTGTAGGCTGCGATCGTAACCTGCCCATTGCATGAGGTTCTCAAGGATAGGGCTGGTTTTCTTCCACCAGAAAGCAGAGTCATCATCCGTCTCCTGAGGAACGCTCACTGATTTGGCTTTGTTGCTGATTGGATTGATCATACTTCGAGCTCAAAGGTGATTGCAGCATACCAGCTTTGAGCACTCCAAACACAAGGGGGTTTTATAAGAGAACAAGAATGAAAAGACGTGGTAATCGAATGGGCGGGAAGCATGACTGGCGGATCACATTAGTCCGGCTTACTGAGAATATCCCGGACCTAAAACAGGAAACGCTCTTTTGGAGATAGAATTGGCGAGCTTAAATACTTGAAACGGGACAGTGACAACACCTGGTTCCACCTCGGCGTGGCCCAAAATCAGTCGGAAGCTTTTGGGCCACACTGAGCGCGGGGTGCCCTAACGCGTCTGGTTAGCTAGCAGGCCCCTCATTTAAATTAAGCTTGTAAGATACCCTAAGTCGGAGATTAAAACCCACCGAAATGTGTATAGCGGAACGGTCTATTTATACTCTGTACACCGATTCCTCCAACCTTACAGTGACTAGCGCAAAGACGCTAGGAGATCGAAACGTCCCGTCCATGTCGGATTGCGAAGCCCCCGAATTCCCTTTAGAATTGCCTGTATGGCTATCGTGGTTGGTGCAACAGAGTACTGCCATTTTCCATTGAACTACAAAAGTTGAGCCATAATCAATTTGTGTGGTTAGACTTGGCATAGTCCCAAGTCATTTCCCAGAAATTTGGGCTTATCATGGACCGAATGCTTTGCTCATTCCCTGTGTGCAATTACCAATATTGGCTAGCCGCCCGTCGAGTGGCAAAACGCCTCCCCTGCAAACTTTGCTCTTTTGTCTTCCTGAGCCATTTCTTCGTCTTTTGCTGTCTGGTTCCTGAAGTTGAGAATACGAAAGCCTTCGGTGTGTCAATTGTGGCTCAAGGACAGCTATTTTAATGGTAATATCCTGTACAAATTGCCGAATAAAAGACAGGTAATCTCATCACCGCAGAATATTTGGTAAGATCTCAGCGAGCCCAGCCGTACACCTACTCCTTTTGGAAAATAAATACATCTCCAATATAGCGGATAATGTCCGACAACTGCTAGCTCTTACCACTTTGACTCGCTTGAAGGAAGTGGGCGTCCCCTGGTCGACTTTGAACTGGTCAAACACTTCCGCACGCGTTGTTTCCTCGTGAAGTCTGACCTGGGCTCCGTGATTATACTTACCCGGCCTGGTAGGGTAGACTGACCTTAGACCGGAGATAATATTGCGTGGAAAGGAATATGCCCTAGTAGCCTGGTAGGCTGGTGAACCAGCCAAATAATCGAGATAAATCATGCCGTATCTCTCGCTCCTTTAAACCCCGTTTTCAGCCAGCCGCGAGGTAACAACTAACAAAGCTAAAAGACAAGACGTCGGGAAACCGAAGCTCAGCTGAGGTGGGGCCAGGACTGTCCCCTTCACCGTCCCGGGAGGCACAATTAGCGCGGTTTACTAGTGTGTTGTATTAACGCGTTATAATTACAGTCAGCGTTCAAAAGTATTTGGAACACGCTACATGCCCCACTTATTATTCTGCCGGTTAAATCGCCTAGTTCATTCAATATCTCAATAACTAGTATGCCATCTTCTGTATGTAAAGATCTCCTCTACGCGACGAGGTAATGGCTTAGGTATATTAACGAAATAGCCAAAAATTCAAGCGAATTTACTCGATTCGACCGCTTTTACGAGGACACATGTAGCTACTGTTGGTAGGCGGTGTATGAAAGCGGTAGAGGTGGGAAGTACTGTGTTCCAAATACTTTTGAACGGCCACTGTAGCTAACTACGGTAACATACCGGTAATCAGAATTTAGTGTATTAATATAACCTAATTAGGTACTGTGTGGAATTCGTCCCAATAGGGCCCTTTTAAACATAGAGCCATATTACCATAATCTAGGTAACCAGATCTTGTTCGGTTAGTACGTTCGCCCCTTTTGCCCTTTTATCTCTTATATTGACACTAGATATAAGCTATCTGCTTATTGAAGTGAATTCGCTGGTGGTTTTGCTGGTGGTTTTGTTAGTGGTTTTGCTATTTTGGTATTAGTCTTAGTGGTAGACTAAAGGTAAAGAGCTCTTGATAGAGCTTCCGGCGGAAACCTAGGTAGGTAGGTAACCTACTACCTTATTACTTCTTATAGAGATATTAAAGACGCCACGTATTAATAATCGTAGCGTTAATAAAGAAGAATAGAAGAGGTAACTAATTACGCTCGCTTCGTTAATGAGTCTTATAGGTAGCTCGGTACTAATTTATAATATCTATACTACCTATATAGTGATTATAGTCGTTAATAGTAGTAGGAATCTCGAGCTCCTTTATAACCTAATAGTATTATCGATACCTACTTAGAGGAAGCGAAAAGGAGGGGAATCTAAATTAATATCTCTATCTAGACTATAATAAAGATAGATCTAGAGAAGAAGAAGGAAAAGGAAGAAGAGAAAGACCTAAATAGGTCTATAAGATAAAGAATAGCGTCGGTCCTAGAAAGAACTATTAAACCTATAGAGTAATCTATATAGGTATAAACGGGAGGACGTATAACTAAGCGACTAAGTAGTCGAGATTAATAGGGTCGAGTTATTATATCCCCCGTAGGACTAAGCTAATAAAAAATATTAAAATTAATCTCGTATAAGCTAATTATAAATATAATCTTAGTAATAATAATATAAAGTAAAATAGTATAAGAAACTATATCTTTTAATATATAATAATAGTAGGAAATAAGATAGGAAGATTATTAAAAATATTAATTTAGTTAGATATATTAACTTTAAAATCGTAATTTAGCGAGATTATAAAATCTATAAATATACTTATAAAAAATTAGTCTTTAGTAATAATTAAATAATAATAATATAAGTATAAAGAGTATAGAAAACTATATCTTTTTATGTATATTAATAGTAGAACGTATTTAAATAAGGTTATAAAAATTATTAATCTTATTAAAAGGAAATATACTATAATCTTAATTTAATATAAAATATACTTCTAGTAGAAATTAACTTAGAGATCTTCTTATTATTAATAATCTCTCTTAGTTAGCTTAGAAAATCTCTTATAGCTTAGATTTTATTAAAATATCTATAGGATTATCTTTACTAATAATATTAATTAATATAATTTAGTTTCGTTTAACTAGATTATATACTAAATAATATCTTATACTAATCTATAATACTTTATTACTTAGTTTACTATTAGTAATAGTTTTAATATTAACGTAATTCCCGCCCGTTCCGAATACCTTACCTTATTATACTACTTTAAAATCGATTATCTTAACTAACTCCTATTAATTTAACTAGATATAGCGATTTTTATATATATTAATCCTATAACTAATCTCCCTATACCTACTATACCTAGGCGGAGCCCTAGCTACTAGCCTAGTAAGCTAACTAGGTAATTCGACCTCTATATACGAATCTACCCTATTATCTTCCTCTAGCTAGTTTAGCTACTTAGCTAGCTATATAGCCTCTTTAATAGTTAAACCCTCTACGTAGGGTATCCTCCTAGTTAACCGATTACGCTTTTTAACTATCTTCTTACTCGCTATACGTAGATTCGTATTATCCTCTACTAGTAAAGCACCGCTATATAGCGCTAGCTAGAACCCCTTAATTATCTAGTCTAAGATCACTTTCGATAGGCTTAGAGGGCTATTTAACCGCCGCTTTAGTAGATCTTTTAATATAGAAGCTTACTTAAATAGCTAAGTAGCGGTTCTAGGCGTTTATAGTATAAATTCGCTAGATCTACTACTTAGACGGCTACTTAGTAGTATCGGTATTCATAGAGAGATATTAAGCTTATTAAGTACTCTCTCGGTATCTAATAGTACTAAACTACTAGCTACGAAGCTATTCTTAATAGTAGGATTAGCTAATTAGAAGGCTTCTAGCCGTACGTATTAGTAATCTACTAAGAAATCGTGCTTATCGATATAGTTATATCCTCTACGCGTAAGATCACTAACGAAGCGACTATACGCGTACTTAACCACTATAAAATACCTAATATCTAGTGGTTATAGTAGATACGATAAATACGTAAGTATATAAAGAGGTATAAGATAGCTACTATAGCTATTAAGAATTAATAGTCGAAATCGCCTACGTATACACGAATTCGTATATAGGATAAAGTGCTTTTATAACTAGCGTAAACTAATCTTATCGGTAGTCTAGCTATTCTTTAAGACCTCGATTCGCTAGTCTTTTAGTAGGTTTTCGTTAAACTATTCTTTAATAGCTACTTTACCTTTAAAGATAATATATAGCGGTAGCGAATAGCTATCTAAGTAGATTACTTCGATCGTAGTAACCTATTCGTGATTTCCTAGTTATAGAAGAGATCTCCGACCGTAGTATTTAGCCCTTATAACTACTTTCTACGACGATATAAGGCCTATTATAAAGCCTATCTTATTAAAGTTATAGATATCCTCTAGTTATATACCGTTCTCGTTAATCACGCTTTATACGGTCGCGAACTACTACCGAATTAATTTCGGGTCTTCGTTTAGGGCTCTTTAGTAATCGTATCTTCGCGAGAAGCGTATACGAAGCTTAAGGCGGCGGTTAATAAAGGTAGATAGCTAATTCTTACTAACGGTAGTTAGTAGCTAGTTACTACGTATAGCTAATAGGATATTAGCTATTTCTCCTATAGTTACTAGTCTAGGCGCTACTCTACGTAAATCTATAGAGATTATCTATTTAATAAGCGAATCCTCTTCTAATTAGGTTAGTTTATAGCCTAATAGACGAGAATTAACGCGAGATAATTAGCTATATACGTAGTCGTATAGGGTAGTAAGCGGAATTTTATATAGCTTCGCTACTACGCGTAGAGATTTAATTTAGCTATTTTAAAGATTACTAAGGGCTAATAAGATCTTACCCTCTTAATTAGCTAATTTCTACCTAGATTTAGGGCGTATTAGTATTATAGTAGGTAGTTAAATTAGGTAGATAGGTAAGGGGACGCGATTTTAAAAAGGGTATTCAGAACGGGCGGGTATTCGGGACGGGA